TGGTGGTGCGGCGGGAACCACCGCAGGCTTGGGGAGAGGAAGGGCTGCTTTGAGGTGCCTGTGGGTTTCCCCATCCCGGTCTCTGCCTTGATGTAGTTCACGGTGTGCTTGCGTCGGGAGGGACAGACCGTGTACCAGCAAGTCCTGTCCGTGGAGCGCCCGAGCGTGCTGCGCAGCTGGAACTGGGGCTTCTCTGGGTTTTTTGCCTTCTACCACGCCCTGTACCCCCGAGCCTGGACGGTTTATCAGCTTCCCGGCCAGAACGTCACCCTCACCTGCCGGCAGATCACGCCCATCTTACCCCATGACTATCGGGTGAGGCTCACTGCTCCCTCCCTGGGCTCTGCGTTGCTGAGAATTCTGTGACCTGTGAGATCTGTGACCTGTGAGGGGGGAGGTTGGAATGCTGAACTTGCCCAGGACCACTGCCCGACTGGTTCCCACTTTCTGTCTCCTGGAAGGAGCCTGCCTGGGAATATGGGGAGATGGGAGTGGGGGACAGAAGAGAATATATTGGGGATTGTTTGAGTTGGGGTCTGTGCCCAGAACTGAGCCTGGGAGGGGAGTGGGAGGGCTGCCCTGAGTGCCAGCTGAGTCTGGTCTCTGCCCACAGGACAGCAGCTTGCCAGTGGGAGTCTTTGTGTGGGATGTGGAAAATGGAGGGGATGAAGCCCTGGACGTGTCCATCATGTTCTCCATGCGGAACGGACTGGGGGACGAGGATGACGGCCCCGGGGGGCTGTGGAACGAGCCCTTCTGTCTGGAGCGTGACGGAGAAACTGTACAGGGGCTACTGCTGCATCACCCAACCCCCCCAAACCCCTACACGATGGCTGTGGCTGCACGACTCACGGTAGTGGACGGGCCTACCCTATACCTTAGCCCCTGAACCCCTGGCCCCTGAGCCCACCCCTACGTGGCATCTCCATCAGTTCCTAAGTGCCACCCACACCACAGGCCTTCTGCCTCCACAACTCGTTTCGTCAGAATCCAGTGGACTGGTGCGCCCCCCCTTACAGCATCTCTGGTCCCTTAACAGGCAGATACCACGGTAACCCACATCACAGCCTTTGACCCTGACAGCACCGGGCAGCAGGTGTGGCAGGATCTGCTTCAGGATGGACGGCTGGACTCCCCCGCTGGTGATGGGGGGGTCTGACAGGGAGGTGGTGGGCACAGCGGTAGGGGCCTTGCTCCCATGTTGGGGTGCCCTGGCGGCCTGGTTTTGGGCCTGAAGGGTGCTTGTGCTGATTCTTCTCGCCCGTCTCTCAGGCCGAAGCGCTCCCTCTCAGAAAGGAGCAGGCGTCGCAGGGGCTGTGTGTGTAGCAGGCAAGCTACCGCCTCGAGGCCGATGCTGCCTGGAGTTCTCACTGGCTTGGGACATGCCCAGGATCATGTTTGGAGCCAAGGGCCAGGTCCACCACAGGTGACAGGAGGCGGAGCCAGGAGGCGGGGCTTTGAGCTGCAGCCCACCTTCTCATCCCTCCCCTCTGGCGCCCTAGGCGGTACACGAGGTTCTTCGGTCGAGATGGCCACGCAGCACCTGCCCTCAGCCACTACGCGCTGTGCCGCTACGCAGACTGGGAAGAGAGGATCTCAGCCTGGCAGAGCCCAGTGCTGGACGACAGGTGCCAGTGGGGCCCGTCTCTGCAGCCACTCTGCCTTTCTCCCGGGCACTCAGACGCCCGCTGGGACACCTGAAAGTCAGCAGAGCAGTGCTGAGATTGACTGGGCGCTCCCGCTCTTGCTGACCCCAGGATCCTCCCCCTTTCCCGAGAGGGCCACTCTCAAACTGTTCCCTCCTCCCGACTTCTCAGATCCTTGCCGGCTTGGTACAAATCGGCACTCTTCAACGAGCTCTACTTCCTGGCCGACGGAGGCACGGTGTGGCTGGAGGTGCCCGAGGACTCCCTCCCGGAGGAACTGCAGGGGCACATGAGGCAGCTTGGGCCCACGCTGCGGGAGTACGGGCGATTCGGCTACCTGGAGGGTAGGGTCGCTGGGGAGCTGGGGGTGGCCGAGCATACCCCTGAGCCAGCGAGGGCCCTGCCACAGGGCAGGACGGCGGGTACTGGCCGGGGTGTGGAGGCTGTGGCCTGGTGACGAGCTAGAGCAGGGGCCGTGCGGGGCAGCAGGGACTCTGGCGACCGGTCTCCCGCCCCTCCAGGCCAGGAGTACCGCATGTACAACACATACGACGTCCACTTCTATGCTTCCTTCGCCCTCGTCATGCTCTGGCCCAAGCTCGAGCTCAGCCTGCAGTATGACATGGGTAAGGGTCTGTCCCGTGCCCCGTCTCCTTCCTGGGCTCCCACGTGCCTGAACGCTGGTCAGGTTGTCTCTCCTTCCATCTCCCCTCAAAACATACCTGCACCCTGCTCCTGGGGTTCCCTTTGGGCTCCCAGCTGTGCTCCCCAGCCCGTGCCCACCCCCCACCCAGTCACGTGACCGTCCCCCAGCTCTGGCCACTCTTGGGGAGGACCTGACACGACGACAGTACCTGATGAGTGGCCTCACGGCGCCCGTGAAGAGGAGGAACGTCATTCCCCATGACATTGGGGACCCAGGTGAAAGTCCCTCTGCCCCACAGCCAGCCTCACTCCCACGGCTTCTGCCCCTCTACCTACCCACATGCAAATGAACCAGGTCCCTGCCCCCCCAGATGACGAGCCGTGGCTCCGCGTCAACGCCTACGTGATCCACGACACCGCCGACTGGAAGGACCTGAACCTGAAGTTTGTGCTGCAGGTTTATCGGGACTACTGCCTGACGGGCAACCAGGGCTTCCTGAGGGATATGTGGCCCGTGTGCTTGGTAAGGGAGGCGTGTGCCTGGCTGGGGCCCAGCTGGCCCGGACTCTCTGCTCAGTATCTCGGTCCCGCCCCAGGCCGTGATGGAGTCTGAAATGAAGTTTGACAAAGATGATGACGGACTCATTGAGAACGGAGGCTACGCAGACCAGACGTACGACGGATGGGTCACCACAGGGCCCAGGTCGGAACAGGGGTTGCAGGAGGCCTGAGGTGGGGAACTGGGCACCGGGGGGCTGGGGGTTCAGGGAAGAATGACTGTCGCCTGTTACATTGCGTGACTGGCTGGAGCTGCTGTTCTGACCTCCACCCCGTGTCCCTGACCAGTGCCTACTGTGGAGGGCTGTGGCTGGCAGCCGTGGCTGTGATGGTCCAGATGGCAGCTCTGTGTGGGGCACAGAGCATCCAGGAGGAGTTTTCCTCCATCCTCAGCCGGGGCCGAGAAGCTTACGAGAGGCTGCTGTGGAACGGTGAGCTGGGGGAGGCTGCTCAGAGGGAGTCTGAAGGGGGCTCTGGGGCCACAGAGAGCCTTACGTTGTCCTTCTCTATCCCAGGCCGCTATTACAACTACGATAGCAGCGCCCAGCCTCAGTCCCGCAGCGTCATGTCTGACCAGTGTGCCGGCCAGTGGTTCCTGAGGGCCTGTGGCCTAGGAGAGGGAGAGACGGAGGTGAGAGGGACTCGGTGGGGGAGCCCGTCAGCAGGGTTCTCCCTGGAGGGGGAAGCAGGTGCTGAGACCCACGTCCCTGCCCTTGGCCTCCAGGTATTTCCTGCCCCACACGTGGTCCGCGCTCTCCAAACAATCTTCGAGCTCAATGTCCAGGCCTTTGCAGGAGGGGCCATGGGCGCTGTGAATGGGATGCAGCCCAACGGTGTCCCTGATACATCCAGCGTCCAGTCTGATGAAGTCTGGGTGGGCGTGGTCTATGGGCTGGCAGCCACCATGATCCAGGAGGTGAGGCTTCCCGCGCCGTCTCCCCACCGTCTGCACCTCGGCCAGCCACGGCCGGCGCGTCCACAAGGCTGCCCTCTCTCCCTGGCCTGCACCCCAGCTCGGCTCCTGCCGCCTTTGGGCTTCTGCGCTTGGGTCAAGTTTCTGTCCCCCGTCAGCTGGGGGCTCCCTGAGGGCAGAGGCCCTGCTGTCTCCATCTGTCCAGCCAAAGTGGCTCTTCAGGAGGTGCCACGTGTGTGACTGTCATCTCTGCCCACAGGGCCTGACTCTGGAGGGCTTCCGGACGGCTGAAGGCTGCTACCGCACCGTGTGGGAGCGTCTGGGCCTGGCCTTCCAGACTCCCGAGGCGTACTGCCGCCAGCACGTGTTCCGCTCTCTGGCCTACATGCGGCCACTGAGCATCTGGGCCATGCAGCTGGCCCTGCAGCAGCGGCGGCATAGGAGGGCCTCCAGGCCACCCGCCGAGCAGAACACAGGGCCGCACACAGGGCCTCAGCCTGCACGCAAGGGAGCCACGGCAAACCTGAGCCCGGAGTGAGCCCTGGGAACTATGGGAGGGAGGCGCTCAAGTTCAGCCTCTGGCCTGGCCTTCCCTCCACTGCGACCTCCTGCAGCCCTGAGCCACGGGAACAATCGCCCCTCCCCCAGCACCCCTGCTGTGCCAGTGAAGAGGGGCTGTGGTGACCCGGCATCAGAATCACTCATTTATTTATTTCCGTCCCCTTCCCTGACTGCATGAAATGCTTAGAGGGTCACTTGATCCCACCAGGCCCACTCATGGGATGGCCGACACACACCCACAAATAAAAGACCCAGAAGCCAGGACGTCTGGCGTGTTTGAGCTTCAGCTTCCCAGCAGCGTGTTCCTATCCCTTTGTACTGGACGTGAACAGAGCCCCGGGCTCTCGGGGATGAGGCCCTCCGCGTCCCCCCACCTAGCAAGAGTATCTGCCCTGCAAGACGACAGAGGAGGGGCCGTGCGTAGGGAGCTGTCCCCCCTTTCTCGTGGAATTTGCCTGCAGGGGGAGGCTGGGGCTTGGGCAGGAGTGCAGTGAGAAGGGGTCAGGGAGTGTCAGCTTCAGGGCAGACTGTACACCAGGGGCCTGAGCGTCACGGAACAAGAAGCAGCGCGAGTTGCCAGGGGCCTGGGAGGAGTGGTCTGAGCCGTCCAGCTGCAGCTCTGTGCAGTTCTTTGGTACCTTGGGCTGCAGGCCGTGCGACTCCTGCTGGGGAGGGTCCTCGCTGGGAAGGGATCGCAGCTGGCGGGACAAGGCTGAGGAGACAAAGCAGATCTTCAGACACAGGCCGGGCCTCTGCCCCAGCTCACATGTAGCCTCAAGCCTCTCACCTCTGTACTCAGCGGGCAGGCTCCCCCTTCTGTCAGACGAGTACATAGCAGGTGCGAGGAGAAGGCACACGGAGACAAGCAGGACCTGGAGCACAGAAACGGCGATGAAGAGAGGGACTCCGAGTGGCACCCCGTCCCCGCCGCGGGCGACGGTCCCTCCTTCCATCGCCAGCCTCACCAGGACACAGGTGCTGCTGCTGCTGGCTTTGTTTGTTATCTGAGTCACCGTGGCCTGCAGTCTCCTCAGCTGGTCCTGCAGGGACCTGGGGGGGCGAGAGGATGGGTGGGCACACGCTGGCCTGGCCACTGAGATTCAGGGCAGCCCTTCAGTGAAGGCCACCCTCAAGCCGTGCCTGGCTCCTCTTGTTTTGGTCCTGTTTTTGCCAATGACCACATCTCTGCAGAGAAAACGCTTAAAGTTCCCCATTTAAAACAAACCACAAAAATACAATCTCTCTGCTGGTAAACCCTCCCATGAATACCTTCAGCAGTCCTGCCTGGTCAGCGACCCACGTAATCCTCACCAGGCGGGCCAGAACCTCCACCTTTTGGTCCCAGCTCAGCCGGGTCAGGGTTCCAGCCAAACCGGAAGGTGCTGTCCTCTCTGCGACATGCTTTCTCCACCCCTAGAATCCTACCTACCATCAGATGCCCGCCACCCCGAGGTCTGTCTTGCTCCCTCCTTTCTCTCGGTACTTTTTAGGTATCTGAATCGATTCCGTCGGTGCAGGGAGCTGCTTGGGTTCAGAGACACAGAGAAGGCTACCAGCTGCACACAGGAGCTGCCCAGTTAGAAGCCAAGTGGGGAAGACAGGAGAGGGCGGCGCTGGATGCAAGGGCTGGAAAAGGACTGGTGTTGGAGGGCTGCTTACAGATTCTGTGCTTCCAGGAGCTGGACTCTGCTCTGTAGCTCCAGATTCTGGGCTGTGTACTTCAGGATCCTGGGGGACCAACGGGGACAAGGCCTCTACCCTCCCTTCCAAAACAACCCTTCCCGCCACCTCTCTTCCCTCCACCCTTGGAGTCCCTCCTGCTTTCACACCTGCTCTCCAGACCCCCCACGTACACCTTCTTCTTCCTGCGACACTCCTGAGCAGACCTCTTGTTTCGAATCTTCCTGCGCACTCGTTTCAGAGCTCGCTCCTCCTCCTGGGAGAAGATGGGAGGGCCGTCATCAGAGGGACACCGGACGAAGAGTCGGGAGCTAGTGCGTTCAGCCTCAGCTTCTTGGGCCAACGCCTCCAAGGGCCCGGGTGACGCCTTCACTAACAAGCCCAGAAAAACTAACAATTTTATTATTTAAAAAAAAAGCCTGAGCCAACATCTGCCTCCTTGTGATTTCCACCTATTGACCTTCCCCAGTATCTACCTTTTGGAGCCATGTTGGGCAGACCCCCCTTAGCTATTTTAAGCACTTGACATTTCTTCAGAGTTTAAGAGGGAAAAAAAATCTGGACTGAAATGTTGACTCCTCACCTTACCTGCTCTCCTCAGGGTAGACTCCAGCCTCCTAGGACCTGTTTAAGAGCTGGGCTCACAAGTGGACACTAAGCTGTGCCTCGCCCACCAAAGAGAACAGGGCAGCCCCACCCTGCTGGAGGCAGTACCTGTACTGACAGCCTCAGTCCCCTTCCCTCAGCAGCCATATTTTACTGCTGACCTGCTGGCTCCTCTTGTACTTGACAGAACTAAAATCTCTCACAACCTTGCTGTCAGTGAACACAGATTCATCACCGGTTCCCAACGCTGCCTGTGAGATCACTTGATAAACGCAAACCCAGGAATGTACGTTTATTCTTGTTGGGCCGTTAGTCCAGCCCTGTTGAACTCAAGCTACCATTCAGCAAGAAGCAGATTCCCGTGAAGCCCATGAAACCTAAGGGGCAGGAATCGTCACTTGCACAAGATGCTTACTGTGCTGATGAGTGTTTTATTTTTCTTAATGACAGCACTGGGATTTGTACAAAACCATTTTGCATCCAGCATATTACCTGCATGCCCCAGCTTCCTAAAATTAACAAATTCGCTAAATGCCTCACCTCTGTTCAAGTTACCATAGATATTAACAAGACTAGCTTACTTGAGCCCCCTACAGCCTTTGCTCGGAGGCCGGGAGTCTTACCTTAGTGAGAGGGCGTGTCCCAGGTAGGGTAAGCCCCTCCCTCTCCAGCAGCCTCTCCTCCTCCTCCGTCAGCCTCAGCCTCTCAGTCTCTGGGTGCCGCTGAGGGGTGGGAGGGAAGAGCAGGGTTGCAGGGGGATGTCACAGAACAACGGCAACCCTGCCCGACCCATCCTGTTAAATACCTGCTCCGTCGGCTCCTTCACCCTGGGTGGAGTCACCTGGGCCACCTCCTGCCCACAGCCCCCACTATCTGCAGAAGGACAAGCGTGAACGGGCAGCCGCGCGGGTCTTGTCCCCTCATCCACTCCCGTTGTTTCATCCTCACCTAAATCCTTGGCCATACATTCCTGTGGGAGGGAGTAGCTGTGATCATGACGGACAGAACAGGGGCTGGAAGGGCCGAGAGTGGTCCACGATGATGCCGGTGGACTCAGCAGGGATTCCAGGAACTCCTCCACGGCCCATTCACTCAATACCTGCACACGATTCAAAGGAACGTGCTCTGGCTGTCGCCACCGCGTCCCCACCGTCCCCAGCCCGGTGTCTCACCCACTCAGAACTGCCACTCACCTCGGAGAGCGGCGGCTCCCAGTCCAGCGGCGCCTCCGCGGCCTCCTCGGGCGCCACCCCCAAGTCTCCGCTTTCCTCTAGCAGGAAATCCAGCAGGTCCTGGTCACTGGGGCCCAGTGCCAGCTCCATACGTGACATCGACGGAGAAGACGGGCAGAGACTCGGGGTCCTCCTGGCCACCCAGTTCCGACTCCTGAACCCCTGGCCCGATCCCAGCCCAGGCGTCGCTCTGGCACCCACGGATTGTCCCCCTAGCTGCTAGCCCTTTCCCCATGGGCGACTCGATTCTGCACAACTTCCAACACGACGGAAGTAACACATCTCGCCCGCACAGCATTCTGGGACATGGAGTTCCCCTAACGCGGAAGCGGCCTGGGTGCTGCGCCACGTCCCAGGGGCTATGCAAATAACTGGGCCGTCCCTCGGCCTCCGCACCCCCTGAGGGCGGGAATTCTGGGGATCCGGCTCCGCCCTCGCCTCGAGCGAGAAAAGGCAGGCTTCGAACCTAAAAGGGCCTCGGGCGCGGGGCGGCAGTTTGCGCCGCTTCCTACCGGGGAGGAGCCGCCAGGCTTCAGCGGGCGCGGGAGCATCGAGAGCTGGGGCCAGAGCAGCTTCCTGCCGGCCCTGAGACCATAGAGCGCCGGCCCAGGGCGCCGCCCGCGGGTGGGGGACGTCCGGGGACGGAAGTGGCCGGGAGAGTGTGTCGGCGGGAGGGCGAGGCCGGAGCCCGGGAGCGACCGGGACGACGCGCGGGCGAGCGGGCCGGCGGGCGGGGCGCACAGCCGGGCAGCTCAGGTAGGCCGCAGCGGGCCGAGCGGGAGCCCGGGGTGGGGCTGCGAGGCCCGGCCCGGCAGGCGGGAGGACGGGCGGGGCCCCCGGCTGCCCTGCGCCTCCTGTCTCGGGTCCTGTTGCAGAGGTCAGGGTCCAGCGTCTCTCGGCTTGGGGCTCCGAGCTAAGGAGGCCGTTTTACGAGAGGCCCGCCTTTCCGGGGAGCTGTCCTCGGCCTGGGATGGGTTCAGGGGAGACGAGGCGTGAGCGCAGGGTGGCGCAGGGCGGGGATCGGTTTTGGGGGCGAGCTGATAGCGGATATTTGTGTAGGAACGCGTTGGCGAATTTGGGAAGAGATGAGGTTGGCTTGTGGGTTCAGGGTTAGCTTGAGGAGTTACAAAGCCAGGTCGACACTTCGAGTCCCATTTTGTAAGGTTTAAATTAAGGTCATTAACACGTTATCTAGGATGAACAGCCTAAGTCAAAGCCTGGAATTAGGTTAGAATCCCGGTTTCAGGCTTCCAGATCGTTGGCATGGTCGTTGAGGCCTATAAGCAGTGGCGGGGTGGATGCAAATGAATTATAAGGTTCAAGGCTCAGCATTGAGGATGCAGGTCAGGGGGATTGGTGCTAAAGGTCGAATCAGATCAGCATTTGGGATCAGGCAGCGCATTTGGCTCCCGGCTGGGGAAGAGATGCATGTCAGAGCCGGAACTGGAAATTGGGAAATTGGTTAGGATAGGGGTTAATGGCATTAGGAATTAGGGGCAGCTTTAGGGCCTCTGATTGAGGCCAGCTAGTTGACATGGGGCAGCAAAAGTGTCAGAGACTGTCAGTAGGTGGATACCCTTGTTTTGAGGCGGGAGTCTCTTATTCGTAGTAGTCACGGGAGCTTCTTTGGCCCAAAAAGATGACAAACTTAAATTCTGGGTTGGAAGTGCAGGGAACTGGGAACCCACGTTTTCCGGTGCTTTCTCTAAACCCAAGGCTCTTTCTGTGGTCAGCATAGGTGGGGAAAAGGGTGTCTGGACTATGTTGCTTATGAAGTAGGAGCTGAGAAAGGCACAGGGGCCCACTGATGCACAGTGACTCCTTATAAGTGTCTGTGGGGGAGGGGACTGGTGGCTAAAGGGGAAGCTGACCAAGGAAACACTGTTGTCGTGGGAGACAGAGACTGCTGAATCCCCTGAAAGTTAGCCCCCAGTGCCCCTAGATGTTAAGGCTTCCTTTCCAGCTCTCATCCCTGGCCCTGCATTCCACGTCCTTCCTGCATACCCCCGTTTCAGAAGACTTGCCATGACCCTCCCGTATTTTTCATCTTACCATCTGTTCCCACCCTGAGTTCTGCTAGCCCCTCCCCACTTGATTCTCTCAGTCCACCTTAATGTACCCTCACCCCAAGCTGAGCTTTCCGATGATCTTAAAACCCCCTTCCCACCATTTCCACCCACTCATTCACCCGCATACCATCTGGGCCTCTGAGCAGCTCCACAACCCAACACAACTGCCATGGACCCCAATTCTAAGCCTCCTTTAATTTCTTGGTCCAATTGCAGATCCCCTCCCCCACTCCCCCCCAACAGAAAAGAGGAAACGAGACCCAAAGAGGAAACTGGGTCTTGTTGATCCCACGCCCAGCCAGGCCACTGACCACACCCCCATTTGACTGCCAGCCTGACCCAGCCACTGACCACGGCCCTTTCCCCTGCCCAGCCTGACCCAGCCACTGGCTGCACCCCAATCCTTCCAGCTTTCTTTAACCACTGCCAGTGTCCCCTCCCCTCCTCTCCCCTCCCCTGCCTAATTTAGCCCCTGACCACAGCCCCGTCCTTCTTGCTGCCCTGTGCCTAACCTGGCCTCTGACCTCACTGTCTCCCTCTGAGCCTGCCTTGTTCATCGCTCCCTTCTCTAGCCTGAGCCGGTGACTGGTCGTGTATTCATCTTCCTGCCACCATCACCGTCATGTCTTCCCCATTCCCAGGCGGCTGTAGTCACTGACCACGCCCCATCTGCCCCTACCTGCGACTAATCACATGCCTATCCCCTTTTCCCCACAGCCTCATCCTCACATTTCCAGCTCCACCTGACCGCTTTGCCCTCACCTAAACTCAGGCTGCTGAAGCTGTCCCAGCCACAGAGTGGCTCCTGATGACAGGAAGCTATGGGGCCTCGGTCTGACCTGAGGGCTGGTCTCTGAGAGCTGACAGGGCAGACTTGGCAGGTTCAGTGACTTCTGCCCTGGCCGTTTCTTCTGTGTGAGCCCAGCCTCCCCTTCTAACTATGGCTTCTCCATCTCTCACTTGGGCTAATGGGACATTTTTCTAACCAGTCTCCAAGACGATTGTCAGAGTTGTTTTCTGAAATCCCGCCCTGGTCATGTTCCTTCTCTGCTCCCAAGCGTCCCCTGGCCTCTT